CTTGAAATGACCTAAAATGTGTACCACCATAGACCAATAGGATTTAGAGTGCCTGAATAAAGGGCTGCAAATCTCAACCAATAGTAACACCAAAACATACTAGTTTGTGAAGTCTAGGCTCACTTGTTATAATTTAGCAAAAAGGCAGCACATGGTAATCTCACAATGAAATTGAAACAGTACGAATAACAACCATGTAAGCAGAAAATTGAAGTTAATTCCACAGGAGTTAGATATACAGAAGTGGAAATGGCATAATCACATTCCTAAATTTGACAATTGATCAATCGGCTCTGAGCACTAAAGTTTTAGGGAGGCAGGCCATGAACGAGGACAAAAAAGACCAGACTATAAGGAACCCAATCTCCTGAACGAAGATCAGTTTACAGAAACGAAAGAATTTTAAGAATGGTGAGATTGAACCATTATAATAACATACATGACTCATACCTACCACCGTGACTCAGGGTCCCAGTCTGTTTTGTTCCTTCCCTCAAGTGTTTCCCTCCCCCTCCCCCCCCCCCCCCCCCCCCCCNGTTTTCCCCCCCCCCCCCCCCCCCCCCTCCCTCCCTTCAACCTAAGTGGTCCGTCAGTGACGCATTTGCAAGCATGCGAGTGGGTTTACATGGACTCTAATCTTCACTTATTTCGGCACAGTATGTATGTATATAGAGATGGGGACCATCTTACTTCTGACAGACAGAAAATATTTAGTCATGGAGTTTGTTTACTGAAACGAACGCCTATGCCGAAAAAAGCACAGATTCGAACGGTGCGTCGATCAATAATAACGCAGAAATTAGTAAAAATATACGAATATATATATATATATATAGGGAGATTAAATAGATGCCACGAGCGACGTTAAGGGCTTTTCTTTATATAAACTACCCACAGTATTCACCGCCTAGGCAGCTTATTTCTCGAAATTCAAATTTCGCATTTCGTAGATAAGATTGCAGCAAACTCTCGCATACGATACCCACTTCCTACCGTTTTTAGCCAAGAAGGGACTAACTAGTCACTTCATTTTCATTCACCAATAGTTGATAAGTGAAATTAATCAATGAAATAGGATTCAGCTTGGCAGAGCTATAGAAGCTGAGTTCACTCAAAGCGAATGCGTAAACAAATTAGCTCAGTGTAATAAAATAATTAACCTACCAAGACACCCACTAAACCCTCAAACTCAATAACAATTCGATATTAAGCAAATTTTTATAACTAAGGGAATTACATGAATAAGTAGCAATAAATTGGTTAATTAAACATTCCCAAAAATAGCTCACTTTCATCCAACACACCGTTTACTATTTCTCGTTCTGGTACTTATTTTTGGTGCAAAGATCCATTGACTTTCTCGCGCTCTCTCCCCCTCTCGCATACACACCTTTCTCAGTTGTGCTAAAAAAAACGAGAGATTAGTGCTCCAAATTCGGTCTCTAGTTTACGACGCGAAGGCCTTAATTGGCAATGGCCTGTGAAAATTTAGTTATTGGGTAGTAACTCCGCAATAACCATTGCAAATCTGAGCAGAGTATAATTGCCAACGAAGATTGTCCCAAATAGGTTAGAGAACACAAATATATTTTGCTCAAAAGAAGCACCTTTTAGGCCATAGGGGGGGGGGAGGGGAAATGCGATCACAAGACCCTTCTAGAAGGGAAAGAAGAGCGCACATGGTATACGATTACCTATATCAAAACACAAGAGAGCACAGTGCTCACACTGTTTTGAGTAGCAATAGTTGGACAAAAAGGAGGAAATTCGCATAAATCTTCTGCATGGAAGTGGATGATTGAAGGTTGCGGAGGAAGTAATAATGAATTAGCGATTTGCCTAATATCTAAGCCAGCAAAAAAAAAGAATAGAGAGGAGCCGGTGAGGGCGGAACAAAGTGTTTCAAGAGTTATTTTAATTAGGCTGAAGTTTCTATCCCTCAGCCCATACTCCTGATAGTAATTTAACCTCCTCCAAGTGATTACCTATAATTCTGACTGATATGTATTAATCATTTGCAACTGCACTCAGTCTCCATCGGTAAATTTGAAAAGGGGGGAGAAATGATTCAAGGTACATTAAAGGAATAGCCCTAATGAATCATTTTGTCCTGCGAATATGATTTCCAAAGTACATGCCACCAACACAACCCCCTCCCCCCCCCCTGATGATAGTCGTATCAACAATAATCCTCAAGTTGGAGTGGAGAGGCGCTTTAAAAAAATGCCCACCAGAACAAAAAAGTATGACATTCTCGATATTCTAAAAAAGAATACAAGTTTTGTGAGGGGTGAAAAGTTGAGCATTTTGGTTTTTGAAAATACGAAGCTACTTCTCAATTCACTTAAATGAGGTTGATGATAAAATGCCCTCAATCTTCAAAAATGGATATATGCTTCGCATTTTTTTCTTTCGTTTGAAGGAAATTATTTTGCAATGCTCATTTCCGATTTTCGTCCTCCTATAACCCTTTTTATCCCTCCAAAAGATACAATTTTAGCTACTACATTAAAATATGTAAACGTTCATCAATAGAACCCAAAACTCTTCGTGGTCCGATCAGTTGGTATCTCAAATGAATACTAATTACGGTTTCCAATTAAAATCAAAAAGACAAGACTAGCTCTTTAATACATTTAGGACCTTACGGTACTCTTTCAAAATATGCTTTATTGCCACCAGACTCGTAATGGAAGGCGCTATTGGCGTTTGAAACATGTTCAATATGTATCTATAGCCTTCGCCTGATACACCAATGAAACTCATCACGTGGGCCTCAACAGTCGGCCGTGATACAGGCGTGAGTGTGGTTGGGTGCATTCAAAAAAATTGTTCAGACGTTAAAGGGTTAATAGCGCCACTTGACTAAAGGATTTGCTTAAATTTGAACACAGACTGAGACAACGTTGAGCAAAGGAAGTAACTGCGAGAACTGCACATACTTTTACAGAGAACTAGGAGGGTAGAGTAGTCGCGGTGGTCAATAACTTGGCGTATGCGAGACTTTATTAGCTCTCTGTGTAACTCCGGCACAGCTGTGAACACTAAAATTCGCAGCCAAAACAAGAAATCAAGAGACGCCCGGTTAGGTTAAGGCGAGGCTTTGGTAATTTAATTTGTAAGACAAATTGCCCCCCCCCCCCTCGCACATACACACACTTAAACACATTCACAAGTCCAAATACACTTCTAATGGCGTGTCTTTCAAGAGTTCTTCGCCTCGACCACCTGAGGACATTTAAAAGCAGCACTTTTCAGCCGGTCAATAATCACATGACGCTAGAAGAGCTGGGGTAGCGGCTTTCACCCCCCCTCCCCCCCCCCCCCCCCCCCCCCCCCCCCCAATTATTGACACGTTTAAGCAAGGCACGCATCCGCCTTGAATAACAAACTGGCGACTGGGGTTTGAAAAAAAAACGTTTGATTAGTATTATTTGCTTAAATTGATTCGAAAAACAAATAAAATTTTACTACTGCACACGAAAGCTGTAATGAAACGAGGACGGGCAAAAGATGAGAAAAATCGATTTTCGTTTACTATAGCCAGGCTCACACTAACCAGACACAGAGGTGGGGGTGGAGGGGGGTGTATGACGATTCCCAACACGTTCCCACCGAGTCAGTACATCACAGAGATTCGTGAAGATTTATGATCAATCTAGAACAATATCTTACTCCTAAATGTAGTTAGACGAAAATTTGTGAACTTAAAAGCTGCCATTTAGCAGATGGGAAGAGAGGAGTATATATTCTTTAAAAAACCTCCAAAACATTTGAGTAGGAAGTGAAGGTTCTACTAATGTAGGCGATAAGATTAAGGGTTTTACTGGGAAAGGTCAGCGGTAATGAAAATTGCAGGTACGCTTTCATATTTCCCAAAAGAAAACAGATTCTGGTTTGAGAGCGGCTCAATAGTCATGAATGGTAACTAGGAAATGCCGACAAAGATAGCTACACAGAAAGAACCTCAAGCGTGAGTGGTGCCTAAAGAAATGGGCAGATAGGGGGTTTGGATATTTATTGGTTCCGGTACCACAATTATACTTTGCCAATAAAATATTTTAGTAATCTCAATAATTAGTTGAATTTTACTTTACGATAGGTGTTAAACAATTGTTCCAACGAGAACCATTGTGATGACCGGGAATGAGGTGCTTTCCAATCTCGTTCTGTGATTAAACGAACTAAATTATTTTGAATTTGGGATTTGAGAACGAATACCCATGAAAGTCTTGGAACATACGGACTAATTACCACGAGGAGACAAATAGTTCAACCGGTAGGGCGAGACCATACAATAAGAACTGCCTGCAACTGATATGGTCTTATCAACTCCGATGAGTCGACTGAGAACTAGGATAACGACATGGCGCTAATTGGCTGAACAACGATTTGCTTCGCCCTGCTACCTAATAATTAAGAAACCTCAGAGGACACTAAATAGACGAACATATCAGGCATTTACTAAATAAATTAGGATTAACAGATAAGGTTGAAATTTGAATAGAGTGTTAATACAAACTTAATCTTAACTAGTTAACACAGAGAATGAAAATGACTCATGATGCCCTTAACCCTTTCAAATTTAAACAAACGTGCTAAAAACGATGATAGTTGGAAATTCAAGCTTTAATTCTGGAGTAACTGGCAATAGGTAAGAGAAAGAGGAACATTTCTTGATATGGGAAAGGGGCCTATGAAACGAACAACGTTTATTCCACCTAAGTAAACTTTACTAATAAGAAAATTAGAAAAGACTGCCATTTAAGCAAGGATAACAGGTGTAATTTAACAAGCTTAGTTTGAGCCCGATATTACTTAAAACAGGTTAACTTATTTAAGTTGAAGATTTGAGATTGATGTCCACTGAAGAAGGTCCAAAATGAAATTCAAGGATTTTTTAAAATCCTTAAAATATGTTTTGCGAAACTTTAGGACATTTGTTCTGAAGGGAACCTTTAACAAATAGCTGGGGCAGTTAGCCTCTTTTTTACTATTGGTTACACAGGGATACAACAAGAAATTAAAGTCAACTTTTTAACTGCTGAACTTACTGCTTGACTGTCTTCAGTTTTCGCTCGTTTAGAAGGCTTGGGCATCAACTGTGACTCTGAGGATGAGGGAGGTCTCTTCAACTGTTTTAAACAAGCCGAAAAACTGAGTCCAGTTCCAACAGATTTAGGTTCCTCTGATTCATCTTTCTCCTTCTCCAATCTCTTTCTCTTTCCACCAAACCACTTGCCAAATCCCGCTAACTTGTGAACACACCGATCGCTTCGTAGATAATCTACAACATAACTCAAATTGATATGATCCAGTCCTGCAGCAAATAGGAAGTCTCCCAACTTATAAACCACATTGCCGCCTATGGGTTCCCTATTCTCTGAATCTTTCTGACGTTGGCATCCAAGGGCAATTTTACCATCCAATAGGTTCTTAAATCCTCCAATGATCAGATTCAACTGCCGTAGCCTCAATGCAGACAATGACGATAGACGAGATCGATAGTATTCCAAAAATGCAATCGTAAGACGTTCTGTTAAAACCAAGTCGTTATAGGTAATAGTGGCAGAAAAGGCCTCAGCCAAAGCTTCAAGAAGATTATGTGCTTCATCGATTATTAATACACTGTCCTGAAGACGCAGTCCAATGGCTTCTCTTTGTCCAGGAACTATCACTGTTTGATATGGAGCTAAAACGAGTTGAGCTAAAGGAAGACCTCGCTTATTTGCATAATAAGGACAAGCTCGAATCGGAAGATCCTCAATATCTGCCCCTTCGAGGTTATCTCGAATCCTAATCGCAGCATCAACCGAAGAAATTCGAGCTCCTAAAAGATAATCAGAGAGTTCGTTTACATCCTCTTTACAACGAAATTTACAACCAGGACGTTTTGAAGCTAAATCTAGACAAGCTTCTCGAATAAATTGTTGGTTTTTCAACTCATAGACCTTTTTATTTACACAGAGATGTTGACGAGATGCGAGAGTGACCAAGGTTATATGATCAGAAAGTACGTCTTTTAATTTGTAAACCTCCTCTACAACTTGGGAGAGCTGAGAATGCGTTCGACTGGAGTAGATTATCTGAAATACTCGATCCCTTTCGATGGGAAGTTCTTCTGAGAGAGCACTCTTCCCAGATTCAGAAGGCAAGAAGCAATCATCATCTGACTTGGCCCAATTGGCATCAATTGAAGAAAATGGGTCACGAGAAATATTATTAAGCAATTCGCCACTTCTAGACATTTTTGATAGTAACTTAACATCTTCTGTACGTTTAATTATCTCAGAAGCTTGATCCAAGGCCTTCTGAGTGGTTTCTAAGGGTTCTAACTCCTTGTCAACTTGAAGACGTAATTTTCTTTTACGTGAATGTGCTGCTACCCAATCGGACTCTTCACTTAGCCGAGTATTTTCATTCTGTAAGTAGTTTCGAAGAGCAGTTATATATTCTCCGACAGCTTTATTATGATCAAGAAGCCAGTGTAAAGAACCAGTCAACAAAGTGGCTGATTTTCCCGTTCCAGTAGGACTTTCAATAAGAGCACATTTTGAAGAGGCAAGGGTGCTATAGAGGAACCTCATTAAATCAACCTGCTGGGAATATGGTTTGGGATAAGGGAAACCAGGAAAATCGGCTCTTGTTGGAGATTTAAAAGCTGGCATTAATGAAGACCTAGGGGTCTGAGAGGGTAAATTTCCCGTTATTTCGTCAAAAGAAAGATTAGCAATCAGTTGATCGCCCTCAGTGTCTTTTTCAAAATCATCCATGCAAGCTAAAATAAAAAGAAAAGATAAAGAAATTCATTTGTGAAACTCCATATATAAACAGCTAATCGAGAATCATGTCGATATCAAATGGAGTAATAATTTCATGTCGGTTTACACTCATCGATTTCAACACATAGGTTAGCGACTTCGAATGATCGAAAATCGATATTTCGCTGTGGGAAAACCCTTCAGTTGTGCTGGAAAATCGAATGGAAACTAAATTTCTAAATAACCGATACGGCAAAAAATCGTGATTAGATTACCGATATATAAACCCGTTCAGCCAATAAAATTAGTAAAAAATTTGGCAATAATACATGCTTGCTACTAGAAAAATCCTACTGGATAATACTAGCCCAAAGTCGCTTCTTTGCAGAAGAATTGGCGACATTGATGATAATTAAGATTATAAACGATAATAAGCCACCATTGACGCTATAATTGAAGAGATTAAAAGAAATGTCACACATACACAGAGTTCACCTCAATTGATTATCAGTGCGCAAAGTTTATGGGACAAAAAGAAAAGACATTCTTGCACAAAATTGCAGTGGATTCAAACTTTCAAAGTAAAAATTTATCTAGCAGTCAAGCAAACGTTATTTATTTAAGGACGAGATTACTAATTCCTGTTAATATAAATTATCGAATATGGAGAACATGAGTAATGAGGCACAGCACAAATGTCCTCCCAAATCCGCCCCACGTTCAAGATATAACAAAAATATCCAATAACTTCATTAGCATTGAGAGAACAGGTAAAACACAAAGTAAGTACGCAATAAAGATTGATTATTTCAAATATGTGGAAGGCATGGAATATTAGTAACTTGGAGGAGAGAGGGCAGGGCAGACAGAAGACATCATCAAAAGGGGAAGAAAAAATGGAACAATCCAATAAAAAACCGATCGATCAATCAATTAAGTAGCGAGCTGAGCAAGATTGATTTCTTTGATTTATTTCCAACAAGGAAGATACTAAAACGGTGTTTGCGAGTTTGTAGAAAAGAGTGGCTACAGTGGAATGGCTGCTATTGTAAATCGAGGATTGGAAAGATTGGGGAGGGATTAACGATATCGACGTGAAGGCTGAAAATTGCGAAGAGAAATTATCTACTTTGAACCGTAGATAGTGAGGACATAGTGCTCAAAGTCAAGGGCTCCATTATCACCAGCGGCACCTTTCAACTGTTTCAGATGCGATAAAATATAGTCAGCTTGGTCTGGAGGAAGTTCGCGTCTTATATCTGCTTCCGTTAAGTAGCCCTGAAAACAGGAAAAAGAATCTCGATTAAATCTCAAGCACCAGTTTGCGATATGAATTTTACTCGTATTCTCACTTTATCTCCAGAAATAGTTCTGAAGGACTGTAACAACTGTTCCGAAGTGTCCATATCGGTCAATTCCCGAGTCATGTAGTCGACAAACACATCAAAACCAATGGTTCCATTTGAATTTGGATCCAGTTGTTTCATTAGTCTGAGAATATCCTCATCTGACTGTAAGGAAAAGAACGATTTAACAGAATTTCCCGGCAAAATAGAGGGCATATATAGAAGCACAGCCATAAAGCTAAGACAGAGACAAGCGATACAGTAAGACAAAAACCTACGCACGAGCTAGCCAAATTAGCAGGCGCAGGACAAGTAGAACAATAATACAAGTATATACCAAACATTACCATTAGATTGTTAACCTGTAAATAATATACAAATACATAGATGACGAGAGAACAAAATGAAATGAGGAGAGGCGATTAAAAATCAAATGCAAGTTAGGCTAGATTCCAACTTAATGTCCTAGAGGTAAGAGATTTAATTCCATCCGTAAAACAACAAAAAAGCGACGACACCTTTACACCAGAGCAGTTTTGTAAAAGATGGCAAAATGAAACGCACAATCTTCTACCGGGCAATCATTAGATAGTATTAATGCATTCTAACAGCTGATTAGTAAGGCTAAGGAGGAAGGAAGGTAGGCATGCAAATGTACCGTTTCTATAGAGGGCTTCCGCTGTTTGGGGATTAAAAGGAATGACATTAGAAGCTACTTAAACACTGATTTAAGTAACTGAAATGGGAGAAAATTGGGGTATTTTTTCCATACCTGTTTCTTATCATCGGCTACAATTGCATGTCCTACAGAAACCAAACAGGCTTTGAATTCGGCACATTCCAAATATCCAGTCTTGTCTTTATCAAAGTGGTTGAAACAACGACGAAGATCGTCCAGCTGATCCTTGCTTAAGCCCTTTGAATCACGAGTGAGGATCTGGTTCTCAATCTCATTTCTAGTGTACTTCAGACCAGTAGCAAGTTGATTCCACACAGAACGGAGAGTTGCCATAGAAACTGGGACGTCAAGGTCTTCATAAACATCTTGCAGTTGCTTTAGGAACAAATAAAAGCAAAATTGATACTAATTCGAAATAAAATAATAAAGTTTTAGTTTCAAGAAACTAACTTGATGACAATCTTCCAGTTCAATGAGTTTCGACCTATGACCTTCCAGATCTTCATCCAGAGTACTAAGGAGTTTGACTTGGTCTTCAAGTGAAGCATCACCGATGCCCACATTATTCAAACGACCTTGAGTCTGCTCCAACCAAGTGTTGAGTTCGGTAGCCAATTGGATGAACTTTTTACGCATCTGATCACTGGCCAATTGACGATTCCTCTCATCTTCTAACTCTTGTTTACGATGACTTGTAAGATCTTGCGTTCTCTTCCACTGCTCGTGAAGAAGCTAAATTGTGATACCAGATCATTTTAGCAGATTAACCGTAACTTGAGTAAGTTAATACCTAATATGATATTAAACTGAGCAACTCGCATATCATCTAACCTATCACTATCAGAAACACGAGAATCCTGAAAAAAATACTTGTGATTCTACGATTGAGTTAAAATTTTCTACGCAAGAACTCAAACACTTTAAATTTCAAAAAGACATGGTCAACATAGTGAACAATGATATGGTGCCATCAAAGAGTTAAAAGTTAAGAAATTCATCTCTAACGACTTTGCTCTATCAGTTCATCTTGATGTTCCACTGCCTAGTGTATGTACCGAAATGGATGGTGATGAAAAGGATCGTTAAAAGTGGAATAAGATATCTAAATACTGAAGTTGGGAGAATCTAAAATCAGCGCGATAAAAATAAGCGTCTGCAACTTGGTGCAAATCCAGTGAAATGAATGGTTAAGAGGACTAGTTAATTGTGGTTTGTGGTAGGGAGAGCAGAAAGTGAGCTTCTCTTAAGACCGCGGCCCTAGGATAGCGTTCAATATAACGAAATTGGTATACTTAACGAAAACCAAAAAATTGCTTTTAAAGCTTTTTACGAGAAAAGCTAATGAAATATCCCCTTCAACCAGCTGCAAGCAACTCGATTTGATGAACGGGATTTGAACCCATTTCACCAATTATATGTAACGTACATACTACGATTGCAAAATAAACATATATTTTAAGAATATTCACGGATTAAAAACACACCTAAAACTGATAACTAGAGACAAGTATGATGGTATGCAAAATTGACATATTTGGTAGAATTAGGCACTCAGAATAATTAAAAATTACAGTCTCCAGTACATGCTCAAATACCACGAAACACTACTTATATCAAAAAAAAGAAATCGATGATTGGGGCAAATGGGACTACTACTCTGAAGTCCCACATATATTCACGGGCTTCTCAATTCAAAATTATTTGGAACAGGTCTTAGAATCAAACCAAAAAACGCGATCTGATAATGAGCTACCTGCAAAAAATAACTTGAACCTGACCACTCTAATCCGACTTGTCTCTTCCTGCCCCGAAACAGGAAGACAGAAAACAGACAAATTAGCGATCTGGGAACTAGGCAAAAAAGGCCAGATTTTTACATATTTAGAGAGGAAGTGAGTACCTACTAAGCATTGCAAATTGGTCCGATGGTCTCTCCATTTGGTTATGCATACAAACATGCATAAAAAACACACAAATAGGGGTTGTTACTGCGCAGTAATCTTTTCCAAATACTAAATAGTTACAATTATTTTGTCAATCAGTTTTCGGAAGAGATGAATATCAACGAATAAGTCGCATTAGGAAAAGCACTTTCTTAGGCATATTCGATTTGATTTACCCTAAATCGATTAAAAAAATTGAATGGAAGCAGATCCTAAGAGCTACTGTTAAAATTCAAAATTATATAATCGATTAAAAGAAGCCAAGACAATTTCGTAATTAGCACAAATCGAATCAACCCACCAAAACACAACGAGTTCCTTGCTATTATCCTTACCCCCCACCACTTTATTAGCCTATAATTAGGACAATAAGCAACTTACCGATGTGGTGACATTGGTATAGGGATTTACAATAGAACCTCGGTTGATCTGCCTGCAGAGATCATTGATTTCCACTTCCAAGGCTTTGATCTTCTCATACTCCTTTTCTTTTTCCTTCAATGATTTCTCAAAATCTGTGTGCGTATTGATGAGTTTCTGAGAAAATCAGAGAGCACTTAATTAACGGCGGTTAAAGATCAAGTGAGGAGAATTCACACAAGGTCATAAAATCTCATACAAACACAAGCACACATGCATATAGGATTCAAACGCACACATTTTAAGGTCAATGCGCCAATACACTTTCAAAAAACTACAATTATGAAACCGTAGTAGAAATTAACTCCTTAGGGAAATATTGATTTGATTAATAGCCAACTGACTAAACTGGTATGTTTGGGTAAACAGGATGGTTAGAGGAATTGCAATTTTCATAAGAGTGGCTTTATGATACCTTCCTTCTAACCATGAAGTGCTAATACTACTTCTTCCAATGACCTTAAGAACTTTTACTGTGTACGCGTCGGTTAAAAAGGAATGACTGTAAAGGAGAATTAGCGATACCATAAGATGTCCTTCCTCAAGTCATTACAGCGAGTTTAAGTACTAAGTTACTCTGTAAGACATCCTATGGAACTGAAGCCCATCAGCAAGATCCTAATGATTTAAATAACTTCTGAGAAAACAATACTCTATAATACAAAAACAAAAATAGGACGTCTGGGGGCGATTTTACAAAACGAATTTTTGAACTAAAAACATGACTGGTGAGGATACCATTGATGGAATTAGTTGTAACCGGCTAGAAAAGCATTATCTATAAAGAAATTTCCATGGTTCTTGATTCTGCATAGTAATATCTTGCTAATTCAAAGAGAGCACTCTAAGGAAAGCCTATGGGTCACAGACCAACGATTATAAAGTAACAGAAGAAGTTACAAAAACAGCACTACCAACTGCTGCTAAAAGCAATATCGGATCGATAAATATAAAATAGGAGAAAGGAATTTAACTTCCTCACTCACTTAGGCTCTTAAAATTATTCTATTAGCGTTAACACAGTCAGATAAAAATATCGTATACAATGTAAAACGATTTTGTGTAGTAATCGTTTACACTTTATCCATCCAGTAATTATCTAGCAGATGCGATTCTAACGTCTTTTCCACTCAGATAAGTACCAATGCATTCAAATACTGGAAAGAGGGAGTTTAACTACTCATCCAAGCCACATACAAGCAAAGGAATGGGTAGTAGTGGTCATAGCACGACAAATGACTCAGCGGCCCAGTGGGCGCATCATCTTTCCCACACTTAGAGGGAAAAGTGCACACTAGGAATAAGCAAACGACATGCGACACAAAAAAACGAATAATATCCGGGATCTAACTCACCTCAACATCAGCAGTAGATTGGGCAATGAATTTATCCAGCAAGTCCTCCTCAGCTTGTTGCATCCAATTGTGAAAAGGCTACGGAGGGGGGGGGGATAAAAACAGAAGATCAGTAATTGTCCCCAAAAGAATAGGCCTGTTTAAGGAACAGAAAACTTACAGCAGAAAGCTTAGCGATTTCCAAATGTTTTGAGTCAATTTTTTCCAGTACCGATTGAGCTTCCTAAAAACCAGCATTCAATGAACAGAGTTCAGACAAAATATACTATTCCACAAGATGAGGCAATAGTTTTATTAAGCTAAGATATTCCTATCATAGGAAAATAAATATGCATGCGAGACACGTAAAGTGAAAATAATCCTACCGATAGGTTTTCATGTCTAGTATCAGAGAGGCCTTTGAGTGAATCCCATTCACTTTTAATTTGGGCACACCTGTTGTCAACTGTGGGCATATCGGTATAGCCAAGATTTCTGAATGGGAAAATGCAGTCTCCAGGTAAAAAAGTCAAGTTTAACTAGACAAACTGAGGGTACATTACCTTATTTCCTCTGCAATCGATTCAATACGAGCTACACGATCTTGCTGAGCCATTAAATCGGAGACAAAAGCCTCGTGTTTCTTCAGCATTGGACGGACTTCAGCAACAGTGCAAGTGGTATGATCTTTAGATTGAAGGTAATCCGATGTTCCACTAGCCCAGGCTTCAAAAGTCTTACATCTGACTTCGAAACGGGACAACCAGTAGGCCAAGATTGTGGTACGTTTGCGTTCTCCCATCAGCCATTCCTGGATAAGAAATGAGTCATAAACAAAAATTTCAAAATCATTAGAAGTATGCAATAGCCAACCTCGTAGTTCTTTTCACAAATTTCCAGCTGCTTCCAGAGAATAAGAATATCAACAATCAGCATTCCATCAGGAGGCAAATAAGGAGGACGATTGTTCAAGCGAAGTCGAGTTTGAAGTGTTCGGAAAGTGGTCTCAAGTCGAGACTTCTCCTCAATCTTCTCTGGTTTCTCCTCAGTTTGATATTGATGAAAGATTTCAATCTGCTTGTTAACGTCCTCCAAATTAAGGATTGGCTCACGGTGCTCGAAATCAGACTTCTTCTTTTCAATCCAATCTTTCAAATCGGTGAAGAGATGAGAATAAGTGGAACGAAGTTGATCACTCATTTGGCTAATCTCTACAGATTTTTTAATGCGAGAGGTAGCAGTGTTGCTCTAAATTAATAAGCTAAGGAAAAATTTTGCCATTTACCTTTTCAGCTTCAGAGAAAAGGTGGAAGAAACAAGATACATAAGTGATCACGGAACGGTCATCCGGTTTAACCGATTCAATCATATCTAACGAGAGATTTTTATGAAATGGTGTCTAAAATAAGATCAAACCATTAACGTCAAGCATTTTCGGAATTTTAAGACTATCTTCAGCGACATCAAATGCTTTTGAAAGAGCATCTTTTGGAGGAGCTTTAGAAACGTCATCATAGTTTAGCAAGTCGGGACGATATCGATTAATGATAGCACAGAAAGCCTTTCCATCTTTCCAACTAGTATTGAAGTTTCTAACATTAACATCGGAATAAGGTTCGGTTGAACGTTGACACCATAGCAGTAGACCGTCATTAGCAGTGCAATCTACATATTAACTAAGTAAAATAAAATACTCACTCTCAATTTGAATATCTTGAATGGCAAACCGAAGAATAATAGTCCAGATCATACCAAGGGTCATCTTAACATTTCCATCAACGATTTCTAGAGTAAGGCATAAAGACAATTTAAAGAACTAACCTTCGGCTCCAATTCCAACTAAATTAACCCCTTTCTTTTTAATAAAATCAAAGGACTTGTTGACATTTAGAACTTTATGAACTCGAAGTCGGCCGCGTTCTGGTGGGGGTAATTCTTCACCAGATATCGCTTCTAAAAGTGTCAATAATTTCAGGCCATTGCGGAAATCTTCCTCAATAACATTAATTTCAGTTCCCTTCTTTTTTAAATGAAGGTTGCACCAAGCAGTGAATGTCTAGCGAAATATACCAAAATAATAAAACGAAACCTTTTTCTGTTGTTTTTCCCAAATGGGGTCGATAGGTAATTCACGTTCATGTCCGCCTTCATCGTCATCGTTGACATATCCTTCGAATTCAAAAATCGACTTTGTTTTCCCGGTTTTTACTTCTGGTGTTTCAATGGGCATTTTTCAAAGAGAATAAAATGTGCTCAAGGGTGCCGCTTAAACTAAAACAGCTTAAACATTGGATGATCTCAACAAAGGACCTATTCAATACTTTGTATTTGAAGTAAATTTGGAAAACTTTAAACGAAATATTTTATTTTTAGATTTAAATTGCTTCTAGTTATATTGGAGACTTTTGTAGTTTCTTTCAGTGGTGATGGACCTTCAATGAAATGTGCAAATGTAAACTATTTCCTCTAGCTTGAATGATCATTTTGGTCTAAAATTATAAGGTTTGGTTCAATTGGAGAAGTTTTTTTACTTTTATTCATCACATCTAAATGTATGTCTGATTTTATGTTAATAGCGGATATTTTAAAGAAATAAATCAGAAGCCTAATAAGGAGATATATTGAAACTCACATTGAACTTTGTCTTGACGTCACCATTATTTTGAAAATTAAACTATTATTTAACGATCTAATGATTATGGCTACAGAATGTTCCCAGCTTTGTTATTCAATTTTTCATTGCATATCAACATATCTTTTAAATTATTGTACTCTAGTGGTCGAAGTACAACAGAAGATTAACCAACGTGACTATTTACTTACTATTTCGTCCCCAAATGACGATATATTCTGCTTTAATATAACTAATAATAAGGTATTTTCATTAAAACTTACTGACTCCAATATTTCTAAGTTACAGTTAAGTAGAATTGGGAAAATTGATAATACTCACCACAATATCAGTTTAATGTCAAAGTCAAGACATAAATTATGCTAGTAGATGAAAATATCAAAATCATCACTAGTAAATCCAAGTTAATTATTTATAAAAGCCCAAAGAGGTAAATAATTAGTGTCGAAATTATGCATTCCCTCTGAAGTAAGGTACGATTTGGTATTTTATAATGCGGTTTTCTCTTTATTTTTTATTTAAGTTTCCGTTATTAAAGTCAAATATGATCCGAATTCAATTATCAACTCTTTAACTATATGCACTCGAATCCTTGATTACCTATTTAGTCTGAAAGTTTTACTTCATGGAATAGTTTGTAAAATTTTAACCATTCTTGAGATTATTCTAAAAGAAAAGTATCACCCCCGACAAAGTGCTGAAAATCTTCTTTCTCATACATTGCAATTTTTGAGAAATTCTCTCAGAAATGACTGAAGATTACTGGAATAAGCATTATAACCTGTAGTATTACTTTGATATATTCCATTGAAGTCTAATAACTCTCGAGATTGACTAACAGATACTTAAGTTAATTAATTGGTTGGCGAAATTTTATTCAAGGTGGTGGGGTAATGTCTCTGAAATCAATGAATTATTTTTAAAACAATATGGCGGAAAAATATGTTAATCTAGCAATTAAGCAATAATAAAGTAAATCAACAATTTCAATTATTTAACCTTATTCTGCAGATTTTTCGGGGCTTGTTTCTTGACTGAGAACTTGTAAATATTTTAGGCTCGAATCTTTATTAATTAGGGTTTTATTTTATGCTTAAATCCCTTAATGTTTAGTACTTCACACTAATATTCCTTGACAATAGTATATCACTTTCAGCATATTTATAGGGATCGAAAAATATTCTTACATTAAATCATTTGGCCTATTTTTATAATATTAAAAGCACAGATGACAAAAATTTAAATATATTTGAACAACTTGGTCTCACTGAAAAATTCAACGAACAAATCGTTCTTATATCGCTTATCCAAACCATAGCTACAACCCTAATACCAATTCGAAATAAAATGCGGAGTAATGCTTACAGACGTGAGGCTACAATAATCGTTGAACAAAATCAGAATGTTGCCTTGAATACTACAATGTGCATAGTTCAGAATTTCGGTCCGATGGGGTTTCTTATTCACGAAGAAAACGGAAATCAAAAGCATAAAGTTCGAAATATTTAATTATAACCTTGAGGTTTTTATTGGTGAGCGCCATACCTGCACCTGCAAATTATATTCGAAGGAACGTGATTTGTGTAAACATATATGCTGGATTCTTCTTAAGAAATTTAAACTAAATAAACACGATCCAAGTATTTGTATACCTGATTAAATGCGTTCTTATTAAGTTTCATGGCAGAACGGATTGAGCGATAGGGAGCTGTCGAAATTGTTAGAAAAGAGCTTGGAAAGTAATGTAGTAGCGACTATACCGGAGAAGAAACTTGAACTCGAGGACATTTCCGAAGTAGGAATTACATCAATGGTGATTATCTATTAGACCAGAGTATGTCAGAGGCCTATTGAACAGGCGGATATATGTCCTATTTGTCAGGATGAATTTCTTTCTTCACATCGATCACCCGTTACGTATTGTCGAAACGGTTGTGGCAATAATGTTCACATCAAGTGCATGAAAATTTGGAAGGATCATCGAACAAAAGAACAAAACATAGGTTTGTGCCTTGTGTACAATTTCCATGTGCTTAATAAACAGTTAAGCTTGATTGTATATCCTGTCCAATATGCAGAGGAAATTTTGCAAAGTTAGGAGATCTAAACCATGAAATACTTCTCTGCGAAAATCGTTTTAATAAAACAGCCAAGGCACTAAGCGATGAAGAATTGATTGTTGGACTGATAACTCGAAGAAATAATATGGAAGTTCATAAGGACATCTGTTACCTTTGCGCCTGTTCGCCAATAACTGGGCAAATATATTGCTCAAACGACGCGGGGAATTTTTCGAAAGGCAATAAAGTAGATAAGGTTTTATGTGGCAACTGCTTCAATAAATGTATCCGTTTGCATACCGAAGAAAAGTACACATTTTATTGGAAAGACGTAAGAACTTTAATGTAACATATCTTCAACAAGTTTAAATTCTTCCAAGTATAAGCGCACAAACGTGTTTGATTTCCTAGCATATGTAAGAGGTTAACTTGCAATTTAAATGAATAAAAGAATACATTTTCCATTAGAAAGAATCCGAAAATTGGAGAAAAATTTCTCAGAATTTTGGTTTCCTCATTGGATTTGAAAGGATGCATAAAATTAATACCGACAATTGGTAAAAATTTAAAATATCATTCAATTTTAAATTAATTAAGATTGCATTCACAATTTTACCCTTAATTAATTCAACAGAATTTTGGATAGCTTAATTATTGATTAATAAGTGGATGTTATTGACTTAATCAAAGGCTTGAAGGACTATGGTACTCCAAGTGTCTGTTTGCCTCTTTAATTCACAAATCAAATGAATATGAGCGTTGAATAGTATATCGTATAGAAAAATACACTCAAAAGTTTTGGTTTGGTACCCGAATATCTTCTGCATCCTTTAGTGAATAGTACTTGAAGAGTATTTTTAAAAAAAATTCGCAGATAACACATTCACTTATACGAATCTCTAATTTAGCTTCCCAAAACTGCTTTTCCACCACGCAATATGGCACTTAATTAGGTAACTATTAAGAAGTATAACCACGAACCCCTTATTTGTAGCCTATCCTAACGTTTTCAAAGTGCAATAGAAATTGGGCGAAAAGAGAAACAGTCAAAATGTTCATTTGCTTGAGCTTTATAAATTTGAATGCTTTACTTTTTTGCTATTAGGCCAGAAACTGCTGTCGAAGCCCTCATCAGACCACTCAGTAGGAGAGAACTGAGCAAAATCCCAAAATGGCTAATTAAAGCTGATATACGAAGCTCGATTCAATCTGGTCGTTGTGAAGGTGGCCATGCCTCAGGCCTTTTGGCCCCTGGTCAACAATGTCGTATCTGTTTGATGCATTTTCAAGAAGGCGAAGAGGTGAGAAGCCTCCTGAACTGCAATCACATCTTCCATTCAAATTGTGTGGATCCTTGGCTTCTTCATCTGTGAGTTAATCCTCAAATATTCTCTTGACATCTTATACCCTCTATGATTTCGACTAACTCACAGAGATATCAAATCCCAACTTTGTGTCACTAGAATAAATTCTAGCGTATTAGGTTAGTTATTTACACCAAAGAATATTTGTTTCTATAGAAATAATGGGATGATTGGTCGTTAATGAGGAAAAAAGTGAAAATTTGACAATATTAAAATCATTAATGTCCTTCCATTTCACTAAGTTATTCCAACAGTAATTGCATGTAAATAAAAATATATTCATATATTCGAACAAGCAAATAATTGAACTCTTATATATTGTCCTATTTGTAGTGATTCGTTCTAAAAGATTGAACTAAACTAATTTTATACGAATAAAATGGAACTATGTGAACCCCCCCCCCCCTCCCCCCTCGACTGTCATTTAACTTTGCAAAGATTTAGTATATCTATTTTACAACACAGTAAATAAGACGTATCTTTTACTGCCATGAATGATTGGTAGAAATAAAGTTATAAAGATGTTTCTTCAAACTGACGCTTGGTCTCCATAAATTATAGATCACCGTGTTGTCCTCTTGATGGAAAATTTGCTGCTAAATTAATGAATGCTCAGTCTGATCGAAATGCAAACTCAAAGCTCGATACGAGGTGGCCTTCGTTAAGAACTGCCAATAATTCTCATGAAGTAAGTCTCTGACACTTCATTAGGGCACAAATATCGTTTTAATATGCTACCTTTTGATGGTGTGAAAAGCAAACTCAAAATCCCTACCGGTTAATAGAGAACGAGCAATTATTTTTTTAAAATGTGGGAATTTTTTTTCCATGAAGACTTAGAAACCATTTTGCCTAATATTTAGGGATTGAGCATTCCTATGGTACAATTTATGGGTCGAATCCATTTGCCCACCTAGTAATTTATACTTGCATAAAAATGGAAAGGAGGAGAGGTGGGTATGGGGACGGGGGTGGATGACCTACAGGTTATATCAACAGTTCCGTTACTAGGAGATAAATTAGCGCTTATGGAGTCAAAGATGCGGAAAATTACTGACTGTCTGGTTAGCCGATAGCTTCCCCCTTTGAGGACTTCCTCCAGACGAATAGAAACCCGGTTCTTCCGGCCAAATCCACCTTATCTTGAATTTGCCAGGGACTGGCCAAAACGCTCTGAGAGTTGTTTTATATTAATTAAAACACGTACAATCATATTGATCTGGCCCCGTACTCAGAAGAATTATGATAATTCTGGCCTCCCATTTTATTCCCAATAACAATCCTGAATAATTGAAACTGTGCCAAATTAAATAACCGTCGTGCAAAGAATGTCAACATTGTTCACCTTTAAATTTGTATTTTTTTGCCTCATAAAAAGGAAAAAAGTGGTACATAAAAGTACTCTGATGAGTAAAATATTGTGTGTGTTTTGCAATGCTAATAACTTTTTATTTGCTTGTGTCAGAGAAGAAACATTCTGCAGCAAATTTTAGTAGTCAGAATTAATTAAGCTTCTTCATATTATCACTTCAATTTTTGTCAACTTCACTTTAATCATTGTTCTTAGGAAAGCAACTTATTTTAACAGAAATGTTTGAAAATCTGAATTTTACAAGCATCTGCGGGTTTGAAAAGTTTGTTCCATCTGAGCCTTCACATTGCGCTTTTCGTTGAAGAAACAAAATCAACCACCAAAGCTGTTTAAAGTCTTACATTTATAAGTTCCTATAGATTGAAATCGTAGTTTGAGTTGATTTATCCTTCGGCAGATGAAATATCCGTAATCACCCAATCTATTCAATTGTACAGTTATTTGATGGTCACCTTCTTTTCTATCAACCAAGTTAAGGTGGCATTTTCGAAGATATGTTCACAAAATGACACTGATTTCCAGCCTTTGTAATTGAATACCGTTATCAAGCATTGGTCTATCCGAAATCCTTCAAAGTAAGCCCTAACGCCATTGATGCGAGCCAAGGTCACATCAGACGAACGGTATTTATATTCAGGAACTGGGGTGTGCGATAGACTTACCTCCAAGTGGTGCACCCTGGTTGACTTCTAACTTCAAACTACCATCACCCCACTGTATGTCATATTCGACATCTTCCACAGTACTCACCTCACCTTTTTCCTACCTTTTCTAAGCCTCCACAGTACTCATCTTACCTTTTTCTCTACCTTCGTGTGCACAGTACTCACCTCACCATTTTCTGCCGTTTCTACCTTTGTCTTTGAAACACAATTTGTTCCCACCCTTTCGACTCTTTTTCACTTTGATATTTCTTCTCCTCTGTGAGGCCTGAAGTCAAGTAAAGGGATATTAATAACTATCAAAACGCCTGCCATCTGATATAAATAAATATTCAGGACATTAGTTACGACATTTTAATTTAGACTAGCGTTAATAAATGTAGTACTACTACCTCCATGCCTAATTCGTGTAAGCAACGCTATTTTTTCATAAGATATCATAAAGATTAGTTTTTCACTTAAGTCTCTTAGAATTTATTAAGTAGTGGCATTCCCCCCCCCTCCCCCTGAGGACTGAGATATAACATTAACGCCTACGTACTTCAAATTTTGTGCAAACAAGTCCAAAAATATGCATTTTATGCAAGTATAAATCTGATTTCGAAAACAATTATCTAAAAGTTTAATCGTGAATAGTTGGGGGTGGGGGGGGGGAGGGGGAAGGTGGGCGTATTTTTCTGAGGAAAAGATCAGTTTTAACGATTACAGATAGGCTACAAGATTATTGTAATCCAAGTAGTTTTTTTAGTATGGAGTAGTTTTAATGCTATCTTAGTACGTCACTACGAACAAGATACGTATCAATTGTCAAGCAAGAATGTGACAGAAACTAGTTTCATTTAATAGTTAAAATTTGAGTAGGAGGTAAATGTATATTGAAGTATTTCTAAATGGCAAATGCTTGAAAGTTATACGGTCTCCTTAAACTCGTTTATGCTACAGGCCGATTTACTGTGTCTTAAAAGGGGTTTGAAAAGACCCCATCCTTAATCATACTGGAAAGTCATTTAAAGTTAATATAATGGGAAATTTTCATGCGTATCGAATTGGCAAATGTGCATAATTAGTGCAATGGCTCGTTTGCCAAACTGCCTGATTTGAATTAATTATTTAAAGCGATTATCAGCAGGATATAATTTCATGCATTCTCACCTAAAGATATCACTTAACCTCGTAAAAAACAGAACAGTTTCTTTTGTTGTCAAGACTTTTATTTTGTCCCAAATAGCAGAAGTCAGGGTAAAAATTTCCCAAAGTAAAAAAGAAAAGAAGTTTTCTTCTCATAGTAAGATATTTTAGAGCTTTAAATGATTTGCAACTCCACCCACAAAGTTAAGCCCAAATAAATGTCTTTTATTTGTTTTATTTTTATATTATTGAATGCAATATAAATGAGGATTTCATCAAATACGAAGTAAATGCGTATTTTAGCATCTTCATTTTGTTAATAATAATTTCACTTTTTACACATTCACTTAAAAAATAGTCATAGACACCCATTCTCTTTTCAAAGTTACACTGTTCCAATTGGCTGAACTTTGGAGTTAATTATACTCAATTAGTAAAAACTGTATGTCCAAAATATCTTTTTTTCATAGTTTGGTAATAGAGATGCGAGATAGCTATAAGCTATTTAGAAGACCTCAGCTGTATTTTTGCATCTTTCAATCGTGGCGGGGGAGGGGTGGGGGTTAATGGAGAAAATAAGTTCGAGGCAATGAATATCATATAAAATAATAATCTTCCTTTTATATTTCAAAATGAGCGGATTAGGATTAGAATGAAGTATTCCCTTTTCTTTGAAAATAATTTTTTATCATATTATTATCCACGATAGAACAAAGAATCAAAAGAAAACTCCTAACGGGGCG